CAGGATTTGTCCGAACAAACAAGTGACTTATCTGCCTTCCTAAATGTCATGTGTCTTTTAAAGTATGTACTCAACTGTGAACACATTTTCCACATTTCGATATGGATTAACTGTAACCGGTTTAGCGAGGGTTTACTGTATTTGTCTGGTTCTCACAATAAACAGCGACTGTTTCCCTAAACAGCATTAACCGGTTGGTCTCTGTAGCGGAGACATAATGTGTTTCCTGTGAGGTAAGAACTGGATTTGTATATCTCATTTAGAAAGAACTCGGTATTTAAATTTTCAACTAGCAATAACCGCACCTCGGATAAACCTCATTGGTTACATTTCCACACTAAATAGTATTAAATAACTCAGTGTCAACTTCGATAGGAGGATAACATGGAGAGTACACATAGAGAAAACCGCAGCCAAGGCCTTGGGCACGTACATTAGGATACACTCTACAAAACCGGCACAAAGCAAGCGCTTGAGCACACACATTAAATTAATCGTGTACAGAGCACTAATTAGATCAATAATGACTTATGCCTCTCCCACCTGGGAGTTTACGGCGGACACTCATTTGACGAAATTACAGCGCTTGCAGAACAGAGTTCTCAGCGCTACAGGCAACCTTGACAGGCGCACACCAGTCCGCGATTTGCAATTGGCGTTCAAAATTCCGTACGTGCATGATTACATAACTAAATTATGCAGGAGGCAGGCAGATGTCATCCTTTTTTTTTTTTGCTAGTGGGGTGGGACTAAGTCCCTTGTACTGCGGCCACTTCTGGCCTATTGTACCAGCCCCAGATGATACGTGAGGGTGATTGTGGAGCAACTGGTGGAATGAAGATTGGCAGGGGAAACCGATGTACCCTGCCCCAGCGCCACTCTGTCCACCACAAATCCCGCTCGACCAGACCCGGGCCGCCGCGGTGGGAAGCCAGAGACTAACCGCATGAGCTATGGCGCGGCCTCGATGTCATCCTAAATCATGAAAATCCAAATGTACGTCCAATTGGACAAGGAGAAGACATGGAAATAAAAGAGGGCTAAACTTGTAGGCGGTCATGCCTACGGCCGTTCAAGTGTCTAACTGCCGTTTCGGAGTGTTAAATAAATTGATGCATAGGCTGCTGCACATTCCTGCACTGACAGATGTCCCTCTACATATGAGAATTTAATTTCAGTTTATACATGGGAAGAGTGTAAAAGAAAAATGTATATATCACATATTTACTCCAATGAGAATATGAAACCTTAGGTGGAATGAGGTGTAGAAAGTGAACACCAATTAAGAAAAGACCAACCCCTCCTTTTTATCATTAAAGAGGATCAACGAAGAGGGAAAAAAACAACGGTCTAGACACTAAATCAAAATGCGGCCATGGGTCCCTGCGGGGCCCGATGCCAGGCGTGACTGTGCCGGCTCATTCCCGGCAGTAAGCTTCTGCTTTGCTCTGTGTTTAAATGGTTAATACTGATTGCTTTGCGATGTATCTTTCACCTCATTTGTAATGAGCTGCGCCCACATGTGCAACATATGGCCCGTACATTACTGTTTGCCAGTGCACTGTATGTACATAGAACACGCGGGCGGGGAAAACATTACGCAAGAAACCACGACATCCCTACTTGCGACACCTATTCGACAAGGCGTTCTGTATATACACCGACAAATAAAGCATTTAGTTTAATTCACGGCGGGAATCAACAAAGTTCTGAGGCGAATATTCACACCCAAGAGACAGGAAGTCAACAGAAGGCTGGAGAAAGTTACATAACGAGAGGCTTCCTAATTTATACCCTTTACCATACGCTATCACGATGGTGAATTCCAGCAGGGTGATAGTAGGATCTGCAGCACGCATAAAGGAGAAGGCCAACATCTCGATCGGAAAATCTATTGGGAAGATAACCACCACTTGGCAGGCGTGGTCACTGCGTACATGGGAGGCCAATATTGTCACGTGATTGTGACTACAGGCTTCGTTTGGATTTGTAACCGAATTTATTGAACACTTACAGAACGTAATTATAAATAACTACTACGACAGTCTCACTGAGTTACACACTCCAAAGATCGCTGTAACAAAAGTCTTCTCAGTCTTCCCTAGCCGTTGCTGGGTACCGACTTCCAACGCCGAAAGTTTCCCTTCCTTTGGATTCCCACAATGTTCCCGTGCCTCAGCTTCTCACAGCAACAATTCACAAATGACTGAACCTCCGCAATTCTCTGACTGACTCACTCCACTCCACTGACTGACTGCAAGGTCGGTCAGTTAAATTGTTGCTGGCCTTTGCCTGCACACTCATACCTTGCTCCAGTCTCCTGAGATCCATGACCAAGATTTATATTATCTCCTAGACATGAAAGTGTTTCCAAAATGGGATCTCCGCTTCGACGAAGTAGGGGTAGGTCGTCCTATGTAGGCGCTACGTTTGTCGCACCGCAGTTTCAGCACGAGTATATTCGCGCTGTCACGGCGTCAAGGTAGGTCACTATGGGCTCTGTGTCACTGCAGTGCACTGTACTGTACAGGGGTCGGCCTCTCTATGTAGGCGCTACGTTTGTGGCACCGTAATTTCAGCACGAGTATATCCGCGCTGTCAGGGCGTCCAGGTCACTATGGGCTCTGTGTTACTGCACTGCACTGCACTGTACAGGGGTCGGTGTGTCTATGTAGGCGCTAAGTTTGGTGCACCGCAGTTTCAGCACGAGTATATCCGCGCTGTCATGGCATCCAGGTCACTATGGGCTCTGTGCTGCCTTTGTCACTGCACTGTACTAAGTAACATTCATACAAGATACACAGAGGTTTCCCGTCAATGCAGGCTGGTAGAGAAGGTTATGCCTTGACTTATGTAACCACTCTGAAACTGCAGTTAGCTGAACGATCTTGGGCCTGACCGCGGCCAAGTTCAGGCCTCTTATACTTCCTATGCCGGGCTTCTCCTTGTCCAATATTACGTACATTTTGATTCACATGGTTTAGGATTACTGCAATCGCGTCTGTTGGGATGTCCATGTGATCGCTACTCAGCCATCGCCTATATACGGACGTTATTTACAAAGCCATCACTTAGCTACGGCTGTTGTGTAGAGTTTATTTCGCGGTCGCAGCCTAGCAACTGGTCTACATACCACAATGTTAAAATTAATCTAAGGGAATCGGACGAGGAGCCGGCTGAACTGGCTCACAGCGTGATCCGACGGGAATTTCTTGCCAACATGGCAAAGCCTTCGGGTGTCTTAAGCAGAAGCAGTCGAGCCTCTCAAGAACTCTAGTCCGTGCAGTTGGTTGAACATTAGCGTGCTGCTCAGGATGTGGACCAATGAAGTTTTCTATAGAATATGACGAATACATCGACACTCCTATCGTGAAGCTAGAGACAGCAGGTTCCTGCACGTATTAAACATAAGCAGCGGCACGTACACAGGGAGCCTACACAGAATAATACCTGAACAGTGCTGAAAACAAGAAGTAGCCGCTGCAGCACTATAGACATAGGGCGGGTACCCCTGAGAATTTTAAATTGGAATTGAAGATTTTAAAAGTGCCAGTTTTTGAAAATAAAATTGACGTGTGTAGGTTAACAAAGATTTTGTACATATCTGACAGATATCAGCGGGGAGGATTCTGATATATCGAAACCTGTTAGCAACGGAGAAATGAACAATTGGGAACACAAACTTTTTTTTTTTTTTTTACATTTTAAACTACGTGCAGTGTAGCAGCTACGTGAGAGTATACACCTGATGATGGCCATTTACGGCCGAAACATGTAGTGCAGAAATTGTTGCACTTAGGACGGAGTTTGTGTCATATATTGTGTAGAGTGTAACAGGATGCTTAAATACACGTATAATATTCCTCCAAAACGTTGGTACTTATCTACCAGACTATACGGAGACATACCAGCAGACAATCATCTCAATATTGTCACGTGAATGAATGACTACAGCCGGGGTTTGGATTGGTAATTGGATTTACTGTACCCCTACAGAACGTATTAGCGTAGTTGGTATAGCGATTGGCTACGGGCTGGGCGACCAAGGGGTCGTAATTCAAGTCCCGGTAAGGTCAAGAATTTTCTCTTCTCCACGTCGTCAAGACCGGCTCTGGGGCCTATCCAGTCTCCTATCCACTGGGTACCGGGAGCTCTATCACCGTGACTAAAACGGCTGGGGCGTGACGTTGACCACTCACCTCCAGCCAGTGCCGAGGTCAAGAAAATGTGGATCTATACTTCCACTCTCCCATACGCCTTCATGGCGTAGTGCTTAATTAGTTAACCACAGGAGCACACGGACAACTTAACCTTTTTACAGAACGTAACTATAAGCAACTCTAGCGCCATTGCTAATTCACACACTCTGTCGTTCACTACAGCACGTACGAAGTCTTCTCATCGCCGTAGTTTCTTCCATTTCCGTGTTCACCTTCTTACTGGCCGGGGACTGTCTCACAACTAACTCCTACTCTTCTAACTACCACCACAAGAGTCTCTCGTAATCTCAGGTGTTCCTCGTTATACAGCCTCGGCACGGACCGCATATAAAACATCTCTCCCAACAGTTCTATTATTGCATCAAGTATCACGTAGCTATCGCGCGAACCGCGTAGAGAACATAGCTTCTCAGTTACTCCACTGTTACGTGATACGAATCTCTAGCGGCCAGTACCCAGCAGGGGCCGTTGTTTACAGAGCAATTACGTAGCAACGGCGGTTTTATTACAGCTGCTTATTTCGCGGGCATTGCCTACCAACGGACCTACATGCCACAGTATTAATAGTTAAGAACAATGTCATACATTTCATAATCATCCCCCTGACAATATTTATGTTTACCAGACTACACGGCGTTACGTTCCGAAGACAGTCACCTTGATATTCATTGCTGTGAAACCTTGGATTTGATACAGTCGCCAATCCTCTCTGACCTCTTGTTTCCTCTTGTTACAGTTCCTGCGTTTGGGTTGAGAGAGAAATGTGTGAGTGAGAGAGAGAGAGAGAGAGTTCCCGGCTTGCTGCGCACAGCACACTTGTACCGCAGAGTGGCAACGGGAACAGAGAGAGCAGAGCGACAGCGGGCCCAGTCGCTGCTGATCGGTCGGTACTTGACGGCCATTTTCTCGCTCATCGCCGAGCTAGAACGAAAGCGGCGATGCCAATGCTAGGCCATTAGTAGCGATTTGGTTTAGAGACTGTGATGTTCGTTGCGATTAGATGTACACAGCTGGTAAACAAAAACCTAACGCTGCTGATGTGTCTCGTATGGTCACACGGTCCGTTCGTTTTTATGTCGTTAAGTATGAGTTTGTGTTGAAAATCTACAAGCGCAGCCCCACCGCAACGATGTGAAACACGTAACAGTGTCCGGTCTTATAAAAAAAAGTGCTGTTTATATAAATAACGTATTTGTATCCAATTTTGGAAGATTAAACACCATGAAGGCTGAAAGGTGAGATGGTGGAACTGAAAGTAACTTTATTTGTACGTATGAATGCGAAAATTCGATCTGTGAATTGTTATCCCATTGCACATAATGTATTATTTTTATACATTTCATGTTTACATATGTGTAGTAAAAAAATCTGTTTACCTACTGACACGTTTAAAGATAACATCACGTATCTCGGCATGTGCCACCACCAACTGTTACGAAACGTCGTAACTATAAATGAAAAAATCTTGCTGAACGACACAGAACTTGAAAAAGACTTGGGAGATAGAAAATTGTTGTAATCAACGTATGAGAATCAACCAAAAAAAATTTAACACAAAAAAAAAAACACGTGCGAAACAACACCTTAATCCGAGAAGCTTTTTCGTGTTATAACATTTTACCAACCACAGTACATATGTACTGAAATTGGATATAACATTTTACCAACCATAGTACATATGCACTGAAAATGGATATAACATTTTACCAACCACAGTACATATGTACTGAAAATGGATATAACATATAACATTTTACCAACCATAGTACATATGCACTGAAAATGGATATAACATTTTACCAACCACAGTACATATGTACTGAAAATGGATATAACATATAACATTTTACCAACCATAGTACATATGCACTGAAAATGGATATAACATTTTACCAACCACAGTACATATGTACTGAAATTGGATAACATTTTACCAACCAGAGCACATATACACTGAAAATGTTGGAAAAACATACTTCATATGCTTCCTTCTAGTCCTCAATGGAAGCATTTGGAATAATTTACTTGAACTGTTGTTACATGATACAGTTATTATCAACCCTATCAATTACCAGAGATTAATTATATGTGAACATTTTTACTTTTGGATTACCACCATGTCGTAGCTTATTGTCACAATGATTAAAAAATTATGTGACATTAAGACCTATTAAAATTTAAATGTTACATTAAACTTCCTTTTAGTATGCACACACAGCTATCTGACAACAAAAATACCACAAAGAAATGGAAAATATTTGCAAATCTATGAAATGTGGGGTTCTCACAGTAGTGACTGTGAAGAGTACAAATTAGTGGAATCTGACTTCATGTATATGGTAGAAATATACTCTTGACTTTCAGATGAATAGCTGGTAAACCTATACCAGACTACATGGCATTAGACAGCATTCTGCTGCAAATTTGCCAGTCTTTCTACAACCAAGACACACAACAGCAAATGCAACTTTTACATGACAAAGAATATAAAAAGATACCAGCAGTAACCAACTCCATGGGGCTGAGCCCTTTTTGAGAAGCTGTCAGCTGAGCAGCTACTCTAGAATTTCCCCAACATTTTATGGAACCCAAAGGTTCATTACCATGTTCACAAGAACCCTCCACTGGTCCATATTCTGAGGCAGATCAATCCAGTCCATACCACCCCACCCTATCTCTGTAATATCCATTATCCACCCACCTACATCTAGGTCTTCCTAGTGTTCTTTTTCCTTCTGACATTTGCACCAAAATCCTATATGCAGTCTTCATCTCCCCCACTCATGCAACATGTCCTGCTCATCTCATCCTCATTGATTTGATCATTAGTAACACAACTTGTAATGTTTCCTGTCCTTTTTCAGGTAACAAGAATAATCAGCACTGCAATTGGCAGCACTGCCCAATTCACTACAACACAATCTTACAATAATGCACAGCTGTGAAAGATGAGAGCAAATCAAAGGAGCAGGGATGTTGCGGTCACTGCTTCCACTCGCCCTACTGTTCTATCTTCATCCCTCCTCCTGCTCTTGATAACCTGCTGCTTAGTTATCCAACAATCACACGTTGCCTACAGCATGAAGCCAACAGACTTCAACATGGCCAACTCTAATCCTGCCACTGCTGCAATGGATGATAGCACAACGGCACTGTATCCTCACCACCGTACCCGTCATTCCGGATCCTTCTCTCACGGACCATCACCATGTCCACAACAATGCACCTGTCTTTATGAACACCACTCGTCTTCACTGTCTTTCCTAAGAATGAACTGCCATGAACGGGGCTTCACCGGTATAGACATCCCAGTAAACCTCACACAGCTCTCATTTCTTGCAGTCAATGTTACTACTCTTAACGCAGTCACATTCAAGAATACCACATTACTAAGAAATATTACTTGGCAAAACAGTGGTATTATGCAGATAGATCATGACACTTTTCATTCACTTACGAGACTGGAAATGTTGGATCTGAGCAAGAACAAACTGGACAATGTTGCCAGGGAGACTTTCCATCCATTATCAGAATTAAAACTGCTCAATCTGTCACAAAATATGTTACACGATCTTCCAGAAAATATTTTCGGAGGCCTTCACAAGCTTGAAGAGTTGTCTTTAAGTCATAATGAATTTCATGTGATGCCATTTCAAGTATTTGCTCCATTAAAATGTCTTCGGTTGCTAGACCTATCATATAACACAGTCGCTCTCATTCCTGATGACTTTTTTTTGCCAAATAAGAATATAATATCCTTATTCATGCAAGGAAATAACCTAGCTTCTCTCTCCTCAAAGTCATTTGCTGGTCTCAGCAACTTAAGAATGCTAGATTTATCCAATAACACATTACACAGCTTGCCAAGAAATCTCTTTGGTGGACTTAAGAATCTCCAGTACTTAAATTTAGGAAAAAATTTAATAGAAGAACTTTCCAGCAATTCATTTTATGGCCTGGATAATTTGACACAGTTAAATCTCAGTCACAACCCTCTACATTGCTTACCAACGAAACTGTTCGGTCCATGTCCCAATTTGGCGACACTAATCATAGCATACACTCAGCTGAAAGAGCTGTTAGACACTGACCTCAATGGGCTGGGAAACCTCAACACACTGATTGTAAACAACAACGTGTACCTCAGGGAAATTAATGACTTTACATTGGTTCACTGTCCAAACCTACAACACATTGACTTCAGTGGCAACAACCTGACAAAACTTCCACGGTCCCTGTCTACCCTTGCCAACGTTCGTGAGCTTAACCTTGGCAGTAACCCCTGGACATGCGACTGTCGCATGCTCTGGTTTCTTAAGTGGAGTAAGAATCTTACTTTTGCTGAGAATGAACTGCTTTGTGCAAGGCCTTCATACATTGATGCCAAACGTAGCAACATGTTACATACTTTACGAGGCCTTAATTGTCAAGCGACACGGCTTGTAAGCTCTACCCCTCCACTTCTCTATGGGCTTGGTTCTGATGCATTACTTGAATGTTCATTTGATGGTAGCCCTTCCCCATCCATAACGTGGATCACCCCAACAAACCTCATCCTTCATTGGAATCCAAATCCCAGCATGCCAGATGAATTCTCCAAGCATCCATATGCTCATTACTCGAACGGAACAGTGATAAGTGCTGAAGACAATGCCCGGGTGAAAGTTCTAGACAACGGAACACTCTACATCCACAACATATTACGTTCGGACTGTGGAAGATATACCTGCTTCGCTACAAACCCTGCAGCAAATGTAACAGCCTATGTCGTACTCAGTGTAGACCCCATAACCATCTACCACATCAAAATTATCAGCATTTTGGTTGGAGCAGCTTCTGCAGTTGCATTCCTGTCTGCCACATTACTTATTCAACTCCTGAAATATGTGTACCACAGGTAAGGGTAGATGATCACTCCAGTATTAATATCTTACTCTTGAATTCAATGCTTTTAATTAATTTTACCCCTCTCCTTCTCCTAAGGTAACAGGAACCAGTAACATTATGAGCATTCCACCTCTTTTAAAACACAGTTAAATATAATATACTCCCATTTAAAATATGAAGAAAATAATATGCATCATGCACTGGTGTTCCAACTAAAAAGGGTATACTAGCCTTTACAGCCAAAAAGCATCAATTGAATATATTTTCACCCAAACGACAGTCAGTAACGTATCATGGAAGTATTTTGTGCTAGGCTCTTGACATATTTCCACTACATGGTGCAGATAACTTTGTGAGGCACGAGCATAATCTGGTAACACTACAACCCTGCTGCGACTTTATGAACCCTCCCATCATTGCTCTATCTTCAGGAAGGAGGTAATATGTTTTTATGAAAAGCCAGTACCCACCTACCAGACTACACAGTGTAATAAACCCAGAAGACCACAATGTGAATCTTCACTGCCATGAAGGCCTTAAATCTCATGCAGATGGACATACTGTTCATAGAAGAGAGAAACAAAATAGGCATGCCAAATTTTGTGCAAAGAAGCCATGTGGATGAGATGGGTACAGATGAATAAATGACGTAAAATTGAATATGTTTATGGAACTGCATTGTATCAGGAGAGCTAGAGATGGAGTTTTGCGGTTTGTCCACTATCGCGGGGAGAGATGCATCCTGTTTGACACTCAGCATATCACTTGGATAAGTACCAGGGTGGCAAAGAGAACCTTCGAGAATAGGTCGGAAGATATATACTCGTATGGTTAATACGTCGAACCCACACTCCCCTTAGGCACATGTAGCAAATCTGCTGCCCTTAATGTAAAACTAGGGAATGAAATTGTGCACAAATTCTCTAAATTGATGTTAGTAACAAGATGAATTTACTTAACTTCCAACAAACTACACACACACACACACACACACTTCTGTACAGAGGACAGGGTATGACGTTATCTTAGAACTATTTGTCTTAACCAGAAGCACTTAAGAGCCCAACATTTTAAAAACTGTAAGATCTGCAGTAATCAAGAGTGGCTGTGAAGATTAGTCTTCCAGTATGTGATACCATATAAACTCATATGTATGTACCAATGTTTTGGAGTCAGCAAATTGATCTCATATGTTAACGTTTATCTGATAACATAACATACCAGAAGACGGTAACCCTCATTTTAAAAATTACGTATGTGGAATATTCTCAGTTTAGATGTCAACAGAATCAGCAGAACACAGTTTATTGTATCCAATATGAAACACTTAAAGAGGTCCTACTTAACCTTACAAAGCCCAAGAAACTATATGTACAACCTGCTTTGACATGCAAATACTCTCCACTTTGCTGATATACTGTATGTATGTGTTCTGTATGATATTTGCAATAAAGAGCAGCTATATATTCTTGAACAGCATTAAATGGCTGGTCATTGTAATGGAAACATATGTTTTCTGAGGTGGGAACTGATTTTAAAATGTTTTGTAGATTAACTTCAGACTTGAAAGCTTTACACCTCATCACTGAAATGATACCACAACTACATACTTATCTATTCATTTAGGTTTGGATGGATGAACAAATGTTGCTGCTGCCGGCACGATCGGGTTAGTCCCCGTGCTAGGCAGATCTACCAGATGCTGGATAACATTGAGCAATACAAGACTCAGCAGCTTGAACGTCTACGTGAAAACTACACCTTACAGGTAGAAAAACATCACAATATAAAATTTTTTCTTAAGAAGTGACAACACTGTACAACAAAATTATTATCTCCCCTTTCAAGAAAAATATTAATTCGATGAATTTCAATCTGAATTTGAATATTCTGTAACACTTTCAAGGGAAAGGATTAGAAACATTATACAGACAGTTGGATATGATGTAATAAGTTTCTTGACCAATCAGTGTACAACACACCAATCTCCTGACCAATGGTTAAGTGACATTAGGTGCTATATTAACCAACAGTTGCACTCTGTCTGCTCACCAAGTTTAATCTCTGTGAAATGCTAGATATTTTTTCAAAGGAATCACAAATGTGTTTCTACACTTCACATTTATTTTGAAGCCCCCCCCCACCCCACAATCCTGCATTAAACAGTAATCCACAAATTACAAGCAAAATAACCACTGTGTCCAGTTAAAGTAAAGCTTCCCTCTGCTTAATCAGGCGCCATGCCATTAAGATGTATAGAGGAGCAGACATATACCTCCATGCATTTTTCTTTGCCTAGGCACTAAATTGGGGGGAGGGGGGATCACCATATAAAAAGAAAAAGAAAAATAAGTAAATTTGTCTGAGCGTTTAATTACACACTATACCATGAAAATGCATGGGTGAACAGAGGTATAGCTCCATGCATTCTTAACCAAAAAAACAAAACAAACTCCAAGATTTTAGTCCGCAAGCGAACTATACTGACTGAGCGACTGCAGCTTGTCAGCGAAGATTAGTGCCAACTTTTGCAGATAGAGGGTGTCACGTAGTCATTCTTAACCTAAACACTGATTGAAATGAGCGGTCGCATGCATTCCCTGGCCATTTCAACCCCAGTGCCCACAGGCCAGGAGGCTGGGTGGGCCCCAGAGTGAGACTGGACGCAGTGGCAAAGAGATAAACCTTTTGCCTCTGCTGGGAATTGAGCCCAGATTCCGCGATCATCCATCCATAGCCTAGCTGCTATACCAAATGACCTGTCCTGGCTCCTAATAATCATATTATATGGAACAATTAAGTCCTGATACATGCTTTAAATTTTTGTAAGCATATGTATGTAATAACACCCATTTGATGAATCAGTACATGTTGATAAATGTCATAAGCTTGTAAATTAGCTGTATATGTCCTTGCTCTTCAGGAGCCCAATTACTGATGAAAACAAACATTTGCATCTTCAAAGAGAATGCATTTCCTCTTCAGATGGTTATGTGAGCATCAACACGCATTAATTGACACTATTTCTGGAGGAGAGATGTTGAATTCTGATACTTTGACTCCTTGTTCTGAATTATTTATTTTGATTCTAGTCAAACTATTTATGAAAGTGAACATTTCTTTGAACAAAATTTGTAATATGAAACACATTTTATGCCCAGTATGCTTTTCCCATAAAGCCTTTACAGTTTGACATAATTAAACAAAAGGCAAAGAATGTGACAGTTATGCTATGCATAAATATCTTAGATTCTTTTATTTTTCATTTTTTTAGTTACTACTTTGTGTTGAGTATTACTGATTTTCTGGGGGGGCACACAGTAATGCTACAAACCAGAAGGTCACAGGTTCAATTCCCAATAAGGTCATTGGATTTTTCAGTCTACCTCATCTTTCCAGCCGCACTATGGCCCTGAGGTCGACTCAGCCTCTAACAGAAATGAGTACCAGGAATTTTTCTGGGTGGTAAAGGGTGGCAGGCACATAAGGCTGACAATCTTACTGCCATCTATGAGCTGACTGTCTAGAAGATGTGGGAGCCTTGACCTCTCACACCCATATGGGCCTTCATGATCTGTTACAGGGACAGGTTTACCTTACCCTTACCTCTATTACTGATTTTTTTTTTGCACAGAAATGTCACTAGGTAAGTCAAATCTTTCTTACTGACAACCTAAAATTTTGATATGCCCATATGCATGATTTGTGTATGAGAGAGAGAGTGCGTGTCTAATAGCAAATGGAGGCATTAACTATAATAAACAAACATTTTTAGATGACTTATTAATAGCTGAATTTGTAGCCTTTTATACTGTATACTGTAAGACAGACTGGGGCCTAAGAAGGCAACTGGAGAAATCTTGTGTAATGATGAGATTCGTAATTTGCATTTTGCACCAAATATTATTGGAATAGGATAGACACTGCATGTACCACACGTTGGAAAAAATGGTAATGTATACAGAATTTTGGTATGAAAACTTTAAGGGATGAAACCACTACGAAAACCTAAGCATAGATTAGACGACAATATGAAAATGGATCTTAAAGAAAAAGGATGGCTGGATGTGGACTGGATTCAGCTGGCTCTGGGGAGCATCTTGAGCAGGCTCTCGTTAAAACAGTAATGTCTCTTTGGGTTCCATAAAGTGCTGGGGGAATTTATTGAGTAGCTCAGCAACTGTTAGCTTCTCAAGCAGAACCTGGTTCCATGTAGTTACTTAGTCAAGATATGAGTAGTGGAGGGTAATGGTCCCTTTTAATATCCACAGCCGATTTACTGGTCTGTGAATCAGAAATGGCAGAGAATCACTGCAGTGAGTAATAATGTATGTATTCATACATTTGTGCCTCTTATAATTTTTCCAGCAGTCAAAAAGAACATGAAATCAAATTCCTCATACTGAGAATACCAATTGTCTTCAGAAGTTCATGACAATGGTATATTAATTATTTTCTTTTTTCTTTTTAATTCGCTTAGTGGGGGGGGGGGCTCCAACTGGGTCCACTCGGCACAGTGGCCACTGATTGGCCTATTGTAGCCTACCCCAGGTGATTATGATTACGGGGAATTTGGCGGAATGAAGATTGGCAGGGGAACCGAAGTACTTGGAGAAAACCCGCCCCAGCGCCACTTTGTCCACCACAAATCCCACTTGACCAGACCCGGGATCGAACCCGGGCCGCTGCGGTGGAAAGCTAGCGACTAACCGCTTGGGCTATGGTGCGGCCACACAATGGTATATTAATACAGTTACTGAGTTTTTGGGCATTAGGCTATCCATTATCCTGTATCTTATTTAAAATGATTCTGAGACAGGACCCTAACCCTGTCCCTAGGTAAAACGCCTACTCATTTGAGACCAATCAGTAGAGCTACTGAAGAAAGCAGTCTTCTCGGATGTGGTGCCATGTAGATATTGTGTTATACGACGTTTCTTTTTTATTCTACCCTGAAGATGGAGGTGAGACGTTCCTCCAAAACGTCGGTTAACACCATATCTACACGGCACCACATCCCAGAAGACTGCTTTCTTCATAGTCACCACTGTGAAAACCTCAAATCTTACACAGCAGAGCTACTGGTTTTAAATAAAAATGGGATGTGGATAATGTCCAGATGTTCAGTATCTGTATCAGCCATCTCTAATGGTAAAGCTATCCCTGTGCTTAACAAGCACTATGCACATATGGGGCCACTGTTTATAGCTCCATGCATTCTTTACCTCACCACTGGATTGTGGTGAGTGGTCAGCTTCATGACCCAGCCACTTTACATCTCCTCCCATGCATGAAAGTTCTGCAACTACCCACAAGATGGACACCCAGAGCTGTTCTGACATGATGACTCATTATCCAGTCACCCAGCCCGTATCCCAGACACTACACTGACTGTCACACTGTCTTACCACCAAAAATATTTGCTTTACTTATTTGTACTCCTGTCACACTTGAATGGTTCAAAAATTCTGAAAGATCTATGTATCTAAAATGTTTAGAATGGCCAAGTAAAAATAAATTCATTTTAAGTTTAGGGTGAGATTTCTTGGAGGTGTATTAAGACTTAACCCACCACTAAAATCATCATAAAATAACAAATTGGCATCCTTTATAATCTTATGTACATTTTTTAGAAAATTTATTTTATTCTTAAGACATTAGTCTTCATCAGTATCACACTCAATGGACCTTCCAATTTACTAAGCTTGGTAACATTTATATACACCAGGTGCACAGAATCAAGGACAACTGTGCCCAGCAAGTGGAATGGATTCAGAGCAGCTATCAGGGACAAGTCAAACACCTGCGGGACATCCGTGATTATGGTACAAACCACCTCAGTGCTTTGCGAGACCAATATTATGATCAGGTAAAGCAAGTGTATATCTTCTCTGTTGTTGTTGTTATGTGAATTTCCTTCACTGAATGATTATAAATGCAGGGAAATAATTAAAATATAATTTATGTTTACAATTCAGAAACCTGGATTCACAAAACAGGTTGGCCTGTTAACTTGTATTTGCGTGGTACTTGGTTCGAATCTCAGCCAAGATGTTTGTTTAAGGATTTCTCAAGAACAGTGTTCGGATAGTACCTCAATTAGACTATGACCACTGCCTTCCAAATTCAGCATTCCTCACTCATCCTACCATCTGATGGTATGCAATCGATCCTGACAGTCCTGTTATAATGCCCCCCACCAAACAAGTAATTCACTGAATATGCAATGATGAAAGAAAATGAAATATGTTTACCCATGCCCTGCCATCAAGAAATGAAAGCTGATCAATGGAATTAAGATTTTACAAGTTAATTAACTATGTTACAAGACAGTATGTCACAGGTTCTGGTGCTGATGAGGTGGTTTTTTCAATTAACCTAATCTTTCCAGCCGCATTATGGCCCTGAGGTTGACTTAGCCTCTAACAGAAATGAGTAGCAGGAATCTTTCTGGGGGGTAAAGGGTGGCCGGCACATAAGGCTGACAACCTTACCGCCATCTTTGAGACGACTGTCTAGAGAAAATGTGAGTGTCTCGACGTCTGGCAACTCTATGGGCCTTCACAGCTTGTTACAGGGATAGCTTTACCTTTTAATTAAAGATTAATTGCAGTCTTTTACCATTAAGTATCCGTTGGACTGAAATTCTTTAAGTCAAAAAAAGAGGATTTTGTGCAGACACATCATATACAGGAAATGAACTCTTAATTCATCATCTCACACGCATTATTGGCTCATTAGGATACATATAGTAATAGTTCCCAAATACCACGTCACAGTCAGACTTCAGCCATTTGTTGACCTGTTCTGACCTTATTCATCTGTAATGCCTTTAAATGTCTTCTCCGTTGCCTTCATTCACGTGGTTTTTGTTTTTTATATTTCCTTTTCTCTTTTCATTTACTGTATTGTGCATCCAGATGTATTTTGCCTTTCATCTCATAAACTCCATTTCGGCAGCTGCACTTCTGGTACAGTATCTTGCTTTCACTGTGCACCATTCACTTCCATATAAAAGTGCTGGTGAAGACAGGGTATTACTACTACACTGCAGGCGCTAGTCCATGATGAACATTTGCCCTAGGGATCAGCCCTTCACACTGCCACTACCTACACAGGACAAGACAAAAGCTGAATAAATGCAGACAAACATCCATGTCTTGAGTGGGATTCGAACCCACAACCCCAGTGTTTCAGTGGCCAAACACAGTTCATGCCTTAGACTGTGTGGCCACTGTGATCGGCAGAGACAGGGTATTCTTATTCTAGTGTGTTTCTGGAATAGGTCATAAGTTAGTATTTCAGAAGTAACCTGGTTTAAGTATAGGTTGTGGGCCATCTACCTCAAGAGCAAATTTTCAGTTTTCCACTATTCATGATGTGTATTTTTGCTAACCGTCTTACAGTTCACACAATTTCACCTTTCTCTTCACTTTTACACTACATGTTTCAGCACTAATGTGCCATCTTCAGGTGTGTCTCTATCCACGTCAAACTACTGCACTGCGTGCCATCACGTCTCCATCATAAAATAACTAAAATGCATATTCGTCATGTATAACAACAAATTCTAAATACTAAAACCTTTCAGGATTCGTCATCCTTACGTCGTATCTCAAATACGCGAGTCACGCCAATCCTCCTCTATGGGAGCACTCTTCCTACATTCATGTGTATATTATGCTCTGTGTTGTGTTGTGTTGTGATGCACGCAGTCACATCATTTTATGATGGAGAAGTGATGGCACATTAGTGCCGAAACATGTAGTGTACAAGTGAAGAGAAAGGTGAAATTGTGCGCACTGTAAGACGGTTAGTAAAAATACACATCATGGACATGAATCAGTGCAACAGGACACTAAAATATAACATTTCCACTATTCTTTCAAAAAAGTGCGTTACTATAAGGCCATCGCTGTTCTCTTTCACACCACGTTCAAAATACTATCCATCATCCTATTAAATAGAAATTTCTCAGACAGGTTTATTGATCATAAACTTTTGTGTTACTGGGACAGCATATATACTAGTACCATGTTGAACAGAACTCACATAATGTACTTTCTTTTGCACAAATCTGTTGGTATGTTGTTGTCATTGTCGTCATTGTCATTTTATTGTACAAGTAAAACTCCATATGCAGTGTGTGTATGTTTATTATATTCTACATCAAATTTAACGTTCCCATCTCCAGTTGTTCAGTAGTTATGGCCATTATATTGAAAGTTAGAATTTTTGCCCCTCGGCCATGATGTCATTTTACAATCTTTAAAAATACTACCCCAACAAAACTTGCATATTTTACCCAAAGTAAATGCCATTTACATCCCATGGGTTTCCGTATCTGCCACATTATTACTGACTGCTGGAAACTAAACGTATGACATTTGGGTGGCTTTCAGTGGCATGGCATTCATACCAAGTTTCTTCAAAATTGGTTAATTGGTTTAAAAGATGAAACGGAAATATTCACACAAATACTAGGTGGTCTTGTAAGTTTTGTACTCTCCTTTTTCCTTTCAAGGAAGGAAAAGGGGACAAGAATGATGAACAGATAGTCTTATGTACAAAATGGCTGATTACAGCACAACTTGTGAATGTGTGTATGTATGGTAGTACTATAAAATAATTTGCCCCCTTGAGACAAATGTTACTGTAAAAAGACGTAGTTTAAAACTGCCAATAAAAATGCTCAAGCCAAAAACCAGTATCGTATATATAATAAACAGAAGTATTTCAAACATTACAATTTATATTTCAGGTTAAACGTGTCCGTGAATATTCTACAAGCCAGCTCAACTGGGTGCGAGAGAATTATGTCTTCCAACGCAACCGCATCCGAAAATTCAGCGCCCATCAAGTCCTCCGTTTCAGAGAATCTTATAAGTATCAGCAACAGACCCTCAATAAATTGCTGGAGAATTTGCCAAGTCTCTACCTCGAGAACTGTCGATCAGGTTCCTGCGGCCGCACTGATTCCATTGTGTTTGACCCATCAGATGTCTCAAGCATGGATATGTATATTAAAACAAAGATTAACCACATTGTAAACAGCCTTGATGAAACCAACACATCAGAAGATACACAGAGCCACTTATCGCTCTACTACACACCCTCTGAACTCTCAGAAAGTCCACACCTCTCTCCAGGAACATTCATCAATGAACTGGCTACCAAAACTGGTATTTCTTTTGATGAAAGAAAAGAATTAGAGCTAGAAGAGGATGATGAAGAAGAAGACCTCGCTGAACCACAAACATCGCCTTATTTCTTGACCCATAATTGTCGCCACAGACCTAATAATAGAAACTCATGTAGGTTTGTAAATTATGCCTACTCCATGCCATCTTGTGAAGCTCCTTGTGCAGTGTTTAAAAGTGCAACAAGAGTGAATGGTATACACGAAACAAAAGCAGAGGAAACTGGTTCAGCAGAAGAAGTATCCATCCTTCTACCAGTTACTGATCTTCGTGATTGTAATTTTAGTGCAAGTTTACCAGAACTAAGTTTAGCTCGAAATGAAAACCACATCGTAACCATTGAAGACCCTCGATCTAGTGGCAGTGTAACAAAGAAAACTCCATATGAAACTACCTTATAGTGCAAATTAGTGAGCTGAAAGTGAGACACTAATGTGTAATTAATTTATTCACACTAACTGTGATATCAAAGTGGTTTATTTTGCCTCAAATACAGAAATGTGCTCAGAAGGAAGATTTCAGAGGTGGAAGCTGAAAGTGTGACTGATTTCTGCAGACTCTTGTGGATAAATAAAACATATCTTGGTATGTATATATCTTCAAGCATATAGGATCAAGAATTTCCATGTATAATACAGTTGATCCTTTAGGGCATACATGGCAAATTCCTGGGTGTAATTGTATTGAGGGCTAGTGGTAATATTAATTTCTTTTAAATTAACGCTTTATGTCCTTTTGTTCCAGAATTTGAGTTTATGATTTGTACCAGTTATCATTTTATGTTAAGTCTCAAACTTGAAGGTCTTAACTCACTTTCCATCTTCTAACGGAAATGTAGATTTTATCTCATGTGTTAAAAAATCCGTGGCCTGTAGTCCGCAAGCGAACTATACTGACTGAGCGATCGCCACTTGTCGGCAAAGTTAGTGCCAACTTTGGGCCGCGCCACAGCTCAAGCGGTTAGGCGAAGGCTTCCCACCGCGGCAACCCGGGTTCGATCCCGGGTCTGGTCAAGTGGGATTTGTGGTGGACAAAGTGGTGCTGGGGCAAGTTTTCTCCGAGTACTTCGGTTTCCCCTGCCAATCTTCATCCCACCAGTTGCTCCACAATCACCCTCACCTATCATCTGGGGCTGGTACAATAGGCCAGAAGTGGCTGCAGTACAAGAGACTAGGTCCCACCCCACTAACATAAAAAAATTGTGCCAACTTTTGCGGATATATGTGTCACGTGGTCAGTGCAACATCCCCACAGCCGTTAATCTCGGTTTTCTAGACTGGAGCCGCAATTTCCTTGAAATAGCTCCACAATTATCCTCATGAGGCTCAGTAAACCCAGTTCCAGACCTAAGACGTCTCAGAAAATTTGGTAGCGCCGGGAATCGAACTCTTGACCACTAGACCACAGAGGCGGTCCATATAATGTTAAAATTACAAAAATTATTTCATAATAGATTTTAATTTATTGTTAGTACTATTTTTATTATGTGCAACACTAAACAATGCAAATTAAACTCTCCCCCCGAAATGAAGTCTTCTCAGACAGCCAGCCAATTGTCGAGATGAAAGGGAGAAATGTGTTCCATCTTGACAAAACTGACCTCAGATATCACTGCATTTGCTTGCCACAAAAGTTACAAATCCTGTACTGTTCAATATACTGTGCATGAAACCAGTTTCCATCCCTCATAACCGTTTAACCTCTTCATACACATCTGGGTCACTAAGTTGATTCATAATATTTCCTGTCATAAATTTATTTTTGGAATAAAGTTAAAAATATAACGCTGTTCTTTATGAAGCTGGAAAATTCATATTGGCAGACACAGTTCTTGAAAATGTAAAGAAACACTGCCTTGAAGAGAGTAGTCTTTTGTGATGTGACACCATGTAGTCCAGGAAAATTTCACTGACATTTTGGAGGACTATACCGCCTTCATCTTTAGGGTTGAAGTTACTCTTCAAGCCAGAAACAAGCAGCTAGCAGAGCCTGTCTATCAGCCTGTACATGGACGCAGTACAGTCCTCCAAAACAGTGGTGAACTTCTACTAGACTACATTGGCATCACATCCCAAAAAATAGTATGCTTCTATAGTCGCTGCCGTCAGAACTGCAGATCTCATAATGAGTCTCTGTTTAATTTTTCAACGATGAAACTACACCATGTTTGCATCCAGTTGTGTACATTCATACTGGGAGGTCACTGCGACATACTCATGATGTACTACTAGATATTCAACTACGACTATGATGTAACATTCACAAAATAAAATATAGCGTGTAAAAAGTAGCAGAACAAATAAAAGATGTTATTCTCGGTGAGACTTTGAATATGTTACAAGTTGATTCACACTACTAGTATACCCTTCCATTTCGATTAATGGCTGTTAATCTTAAATTCAACAGCCTGTCATAATATCAGATTACCCAATTTTTTCATAGAATTTTTAGATGCATTTTTAACTAAGCAACACACAAATATCGCAAACATATATATAGTTTCATGTTAATTTGGACATATAGTTGTCTGGAAGTAAGATTATGTAAAAGTGACCTGAATGACGGACTGGAAAAGCAGCCAATGAAAAGAAAACAAAGGCCATTAAGAAGAAAGCAGTCTTCTGGGATGTGGCACCGTGTATATGTGGTGTTAACCGACGTTTCGGAGGAACGTATCGCCTCCATCTTCAGGGTAGAAGGAAAAATAAGAAAATCCGCAAGTGAAGAGACCGTGAGAACCGGTACAAGCGGACTGCTTGTCACGGTCTCTTCACTTGCGGATTTTCTTATTTTTCCTTCTACCCTGAAGATGGAGGCGATACGTTCCTCCGAAATGTCGGTTAACACCACGTTTACAAGGTGCCACATCCAAGAAGACTACTTTCGTCATAGTCACCGCCATGAAAACCTCAAATCTTACAAAGGCCATTAAGTTGAACTCCAGTTTTTCCTGTAACATGTACATAGATTGAATTACATATATAGTCCCCTTAGATTTTATAGAGCATTATTGTTTTTTGTATGAATATTATGATGAACACTATCCAGTTGTCTGGGGTATATTTTTAGAAACTGGGCCCATTCCTGATAGCATTATAAGGAATGAAACGAACCCACCTAGCTGGGCCAGCTAGTCTCAACCGTAGCTCTTTTTAACAGACTCCTACTAAACAGGACCCCCCCAATCTGATGATTGAAACTGATCCCTTTCCAAAACACTGTGTGTATATCATATATAGCCCACACAAGGAAGTGTCCAACATAATATTCATATAATGAACCACTGTCCCAGATCATTAGAGGATCATTACCGCTGTTATGTTATACTGTTCTGTTCCTGAGTGACCGCAGATGTTCATACTAATAATTATAATCTCAAATCTGGCTTCAAATCACATAATAAACATTTTCAGTGCATGCTGTAGGAACTAAAAATATACTTAAGGGTGGGAATAGACAAAATATGTGCTCATGTGCACATACACCGAGCCCTTCACATAAATGGTTATACTTCCAATTACAGGGTGAACTTATGCTAACTTATCATCAGTGTGAAAATGTTCCTAGAAGTAAATTTATTAAAATCCTATAATATGAAAATGCAACTTTTCATCTCTTAATGGAATTGATAACGATTAGTGTGTCTGTGGGTTCTTTGTGATACCTTTGTGCTGGCATGAAGCCAACATTCATTCATTAGAAGTCAATAAGTCATGAGCTCCTCAAGATTAAAAGATCTACTGCAGAAGATCTTATGAAACATAAATGTTGCATTCAGTATTACACATTTTTATGCAAACAGTGGGCATGTGCATAGGGCATAGAGCAACATTAAGAAATTGCGTTAAGAAACTGCTCCGAAGTACTTTTCAGATGTATCGTTACTCAACTCAGTATGTATAAATATTCTGTACTCAAAGAAGAAAATTAAATTTTGGGATTTTATAATCATATGCTGAAATGATACTTGGGAGTTCTGCCAGATGATTGCCTGTGTTACATCTGTTACAGGCTAGACATTCCAAGCAACTGTTAGGTAACGAATATATCACCATCACTTTAAAATTAACTATCAAATGTTTTAGAACACACCCTTTAATTGTGATCCTGTTGTGTGCTATGAGCAGAAATTACTTTATCCTCTTGGCAAAAACGGGGATTAATGTTGAAGTACAGCATAAGGACACATAAGTCAAGTCTACCCACTGAATTATGCCCTTTATGCTACAATGAACCAACTACATAATAATTACTGCTGAAACCAGGTGTTAATACATTCTACATTCTAGATGAATGATATTTCAGCACATTTGGAAGGCAGATATGTTTAATTCATTACAACCAGTAGTCATTCCAGGCATAAGAATTCAATTATTTATACAGGGTGTTTCATGTCTTAATGTCAATACACCAGGCTGATGATTCAATGCCCAATTCCTGGCAGAGGCAAGAAATGTTCTTCTCCCAATAGTCCAGACTGTGTCTGAGGCCCATCTATTCTATCAAATGGGTACTGGGGGCTTTATCCACGGGGATAAAGTAGCCAGGGCATGAAACTGACAACTCACCACCATCTAGTGCTGAGGTTCAGAGTGCACTGAGCTACCTACACCTTTGCTGCCCCATATGCCTTCATGGTGTGGTGCTTAATGAAATAAGCTCAGGGACAAATTTGCTTTTATGTGTTATTTCAGGAATTTATATCTAAGATAATTCCAAGTCAAAAGTGTCACATAAACCTAAACCAGACCAACTGTCAGTGATTGGTTATGCAACTATGGGCGTCTGAAGTTCAAGAAATATTAACTCATAACTAAGCTGTTTTTAGGGACAGATTCTTACAAAGTACAATTCAGTTCATAATAAATGTTTGAAGTGACCACCATAAACTTTTATATACTTCCTGACTTGTGTAACACCACTGCAAGTCATAATAACATTCAGTGGGAAAACATTTACTGTAAAATGGAACTGTTCAATATAAGAAAGAACATGTTCAATAAAACATCCTTGTGATGTGTAAATGTTCTTGAATTTCAAATGTCCATACCTCTATATTTGTTGACAACTGTACCCATGTTCATATGACATTTCAGACTGGAGGGCCGAGGAATAAGCACCTGAAGTACTGACACAAATTCATAAACACCCTGTATAGTTTATGCTATAGTGTATTATAGGGGGAATGTTATTCTGATATTACACAGAGGAAAAAAAATATATGGTGTTTGGTTCCTGTTTATTTCCTCATTGTGCTATCTTAGTGATAACAATAAATACCAGTAATTAGTGTTCATTATTCAGTTAAATAAATACTTACAATGATACCAAATGTACCCCATTCCAAGGTAAAGAATAAATGGAGGGGAGTGGTAACGAAAGTACCAGACTGTACTGAATGTTTATATTTTTATGGAAAAACTGATCATTAAGTTATAAATATCAATGAAATTCTTGCTATATCAGTATTTCTTTGTTGTGGCTGGAGTGTTTGTTTGTAGAAATAAACTGTTAGAAATTACACTGCTGTTTCTTCTCTATATACCCTGCCTATTCCTTGGCCACAAAGGGGGCCTGCGACCAAAGTTAAATTTTGCAAGTTCTCCACTGAACCTTTCCTGACATAAATCCAAACAGACTTACAGTTTGTTTACTCAAGCAGGCAGCCTGACCTTGAAAACTTTTCTGTTTCATGCACAGAAAATTTTGAAGATCAGACTTCTGACATAAATCCAAACAGACTCTTGCAGGTTGTTTACTCAAGCAGGCAGCCTGACCTTGAGAACTTTTGTTTCATACACACAAAATTTTGAATCAGACTTCTGACATAAATCCAAACAGACTTTTACAGATTTACTCAAGCAGGCCAGCCTGACCTTGAATACTTCTATCGTTTCACACAGAAAATTTTGAAGGTCAGGGACTTTATGCTTCATCTACTGGTCTCTGACATTCCTCCTAAACATGAAAGCTGTAGTCACCTGACACAAATCTAACCGAATGAAGATACAGGTATTTGAAGTTAGTATGCTCAGTGCCCTGAAAAGCAGATGCTTCCAGTTTTGAATGATTACATAAGCAGTGGCTGAACTGGCAGGTGTCCCACATCCTAGTCTATCTCAAGCAGCCATTAAAACCATCTTACTTTGCACTGAAATAATGTAACTTTCTCAGGCCTGAATTTCTTCCAGATAATATCTAATATTTAGGTTAGTATCTCAAAAGAAACACAACACATCTCCATTCCAAACACTAAATGGATACACTCTTTATGCAAATAATAGCTGTTTACTGTGGGAATCATATGAAAACCAGAGATACACTGAGTGAGCAAAATGCAGAGTTTCTGATGTTAAAGCAGGACGTACATATAATGGTTCTGTTCCAAGTTCCTGTTACATTTCACTCCAGAACTTCAATTACATCAGCTACCAATGGCTGCAAAATTTGCAGCTTCTCAAGGACTCAGATCCATGAGTGAGGAAGCAAAGACAATGAAAATTAAGACTGATGGGCTGTATTACAGTAATCTTCAAGTTAGCCAGTATACAACCATCCAGAATTATGCAACCAGCAAAAAATTTCAAACAAAATTGATCATTTGTATAAAGTTACAATGTGCAAATGATGCCCCCCCACCTCAAATGCAATAGTTCCCTTAGATGCAACTAGCAGTGCTGCTCATCATCGTTCCTCACACAAGTGCCGCTAGAGTGGAGGCTAGATGCATCTGTGGGTGTGTTACAGTAATTCAAAATTCAACCAAAGTGTACTGAACAGTACTGTACTGGGTTTGTTCTGTATCTGTTAGTCTCCTTCTCTCATACAGGCCAGATAACCAGCAGTTTACTGCGATAATAAATACACCTCAGACCCAAGCACAAACTACAATAAATACAGATACTGATAAACGATGAGCACAATAGCGATGGCAATGAGTGAATATTCCCCAAATCACCGAACATATTAATTTTACTTTGCAAATATAAGATCTCTATTTTTGGGTAAAATATAAAATCTGATCATATAGTTAGAAAAATACAACATGTTCTATTATAAAAAGGTAAAGCTATCCCTGTAACAGGCAGTGAAGGCCCATAGGGTTGTGAGACGTCAAAGCTACCACATTATCTCTAGACAGTAGCCTCACAGATGGTGGTGAGGTTGTCAGCCTTACACACAGGCTGCCCTTACCCCGCAGGAAGATTCCTGGTACTCATTTCTGTTAGAGGCTGAGTGTGGATGGAAGGATTAGGTCAACTGAAAAATCAACCTCACTGGGACTCGAACCCATAACCTTCTGGCTTGTAGCATAGTGCATCAACCAACTATGCTACCATATGCCCCCCATGTTCTATTATATTTTTTTTTCAAAATACAGGAAATTCTATAAACCATTTTAAAAACCTTCAATTTGGTGAATATTTATTGAAACTGCATTTACTCCTTATATGCAATCTTCTGTGAAATCCACAGCAGTATTGGAGAGATAGCAGTGTGCTCGCACGTTTCTTTACTGTCTCTTCTGAAAATATCATAACATCCTCTGGACTAATAAACTGTCATATATTCAGGAACAGTGGAGTAATTTGTTGCTTATCACAAAACACTGAAGTGTAGGCATATACACATATCAAATATATATACAGCCAAAAAGATTAGAATGCAGAGAACAAGACACGCAGCACAACACACAAGAGGAGAGAACATAACCCACCAACAAAATCACATATGCTCATTGAGAGGGCTTGTATATTAACAACATAAGCAACAGAAGACAGCAGTTTTCTCGCCCAATGACACATTGGGTAATGATGGACCTTTAAACTTTTCAGGTGAATAACTTTTAATAAAATTTATAGAACGCAGTGTTACACGTGAGACTAAAAAAACTAATCAACACTATGTGAAAAGTGCAACATGACAATACAATACAATATAAATATTAGCAGATAAATGTTTTTAGATCAGACTGCCATGACTGGCTACCCGCAGTCCCTATGGTTGCAAATGACACGACACCGTTAAAGAAATTCTTCAGACAATTTCACCATCACAGCCATTAGTTCTTGGCTGTGCTGAATGGCTGTATCATTGTAAATCTGCTTGACAAAATTAAGTTTGAAAAGCACTGCTCCTACTCAAAATACAACCTCCACAGCACAAACAGAACAGTGATTCTCAGCCTTCTGCATCACGGGAAGGATGCAATCTGATTATACTAGAGCTTAAGCTTCTCTATTCTCAAAGAAATGTATAATTTAATTATACATTAATCATTAATGGAAGTTCTTAAGAACTGAAGGCATGTTTTTGTGTAACTGAATTATATTTTCAAGACCTCACATCCTACCCAGGTGAGTGTCAAGATCCCACCAGTGGGATGTACCCCTCTGGCTGAGAAACACTGCAACAGGAGATGGCTGTGGGTCTTACCTTGTCAGGCGACCTGTTCCAAACAATGACGGAGTGGCCTGAGTTAAGGAGGTTCTTCACGATGCCTGATCCCATTATCCCAAGACCAAGAAACCCAAATTTGAGTGCCGAGGGAAGTATGTTTTTCTGTTTCAGTGTTTGTGAAACACTTTCTACATCCAGAGGAGGCGTGATCTGGTACAAAAAGAAATCACAGATATTCAAGATGTTTAAATTAAACTAAAATATCTGTATATATTTTAGACAGAACAACAGCTAATATAACATATATATTGAAAAATATTTAGAAATCTGATAGCCAGACAAATATTTTGGTTGCCACTATTAGCCACAGCATGTAGCTTAGTAAAACTGGACTGTTATGAGACATTATGCTAAGGTGGTAATTATATGTAAGTTTTCTGATTATGACAATACAATACTAAGATGGTAATCTTCTATCTAAATACAGGCACACACAAAAAAATTATAGTACTTTTCTCAGGCTACCTTCAAATGTCCACAGATAGAGAAAATCTGAAAGCCAACATTTCTTTCAGACATTAGTATTTCACACCTGATGCCATCTACTGACAGACTGCTATACTGACCTCTCTGACCACGGCAGTTTAACATAGGTACCCTCAGCTGACCTGGGCTGGGGCACCTCAATTAGTACAGGGACAGGTTACAGGTAGGCTGGATAACAAAGGTCCAAATCCCCACAGAACAAACAGACCTTTCTCTTCTCCTCAATGTTCAAACCAGCTGTGGGGCCATCCAGCCACCTATCCAATGGAGATGGGGGCTTCTCCCAGTGGGGAGGGGGGGAGAAGACAGAGTATGAAGCGGACCAATCACCTCCGCCTAGTGTCAAGGCCTAGAATGGTGGAGCTTCTCCACTCCCCCATACACCTTCAGGCTATAGTGCTTATTCCAGTGAGGAGTAGAGGGGAGCAGCCAGGGTATGGAGCTCACCACTCACCTCCACCAAGTGTCAAATTCAAGAATGGTGAGACTATATCTCCACTCTCCCATACATCTTCATGGCATAATGCTTAATTAAGCACAGGGAAATTTTATGTTTTAACCTACCCCAAGCTGGTTTAATCAGCTCTTGGCATGTACAAAGTGGTTAACCCACATGTATGACTGACCATAACCTGGCTACACTGGTGTGATCTGACGGGTCAGTAACTTCTGAACCAATTCCTATAAGCAATATAATAATCCTGTACACGTAATCAGCTCTTGGCATGTACAAAGTGGTTAACCCACATGTATGACTGACCATAACCTGGCTACACTGGTGTGATCTGACGGGTCAGTAACTTCTGAACCAATTCCTATAAGCAATATAATAATCCTGTACACGTTTCATGGGTTTCAATATAGCATGTAAGATAAAACCTTGCAAATCCAAATATTATGGTCAGTCACAATTCAGACAGTACCATACGGTTGAACCCATACAGTTCTATGTCGACATTATTTTACACTCTTTCTGGAAGTCTTAACATATTTCAAGATAATTAAACACACTAAAGTGGGCAAGCCAGAATTTTTATAGTATGCACCACAGAATTCACAAGTTCACTAATCCAGACCCCATCCCCATAGAGATCTGGATTAGTGTGACTACTGTACAGGCTGCTAAAGGTAAACATATCCCTGTAACAGGCCCCCGGTGGCCTACAGGGTTGAGAGATGTTGGGCCTCCCACATTTTCTAGACAATTGGCTCACAGATGGCAGAGAGGCTGTCTCATGCGCCAGCTGGCCAACCACCCTTTACCTCCAGGAAGATTCATGGTACTCATTTCTGTTAGGGGCTGAGTCGACCCCTGGGCCACTGCATGGCTGGAAGGATTAGGTCAAATGAAAAATCCAATGACCTCATCAGGAATCAAATTTACAATCGTCCAGCTTGTAGCAAAGTGCCTCAACCACTTACACCACTGTGTACCCCCTTTGTGCTGGCTGATAACAAGAAAACATTACAGGCTGACTTACAGGTCTGCTGATGTTGGCTGGTCTGTCCAATAAATTGCAGGCAGCTCCTTTCCTTGGACTTCCAATTCCAGTGTCGTTGGTGAGGATGGGTGACACGTCATTCAGTATTCGGTGCTGCTCTCTTTCATCTAGAGAGTTACTGCGTATCTTCTTCGCAGAAGGCACTGAAATTCCACTGCCTTCTGATGCGGTGCGNAGAGATGTTGGGCCTCCCACATTTTCTAGACAATTGGCTCACAGATGGCAGAGAGGCTGTCTCATGCGCCAGCTGGCCAACCACCCTTTACCTCCAGGAAGATTCATGGTACTCATTTCTGTTAGGGGCTGAGTCGACCCCTGGGCCACTGCATGGCTGGAAGGATTAGGTCAAATGAAAAATCCAATGACCTCATCAGGAATCAAATTTACAATCGTCCAGCTTGTAGCAAAGTGCCTCAACCACTTACACCACTGTGTACCCCCTTTGTGCTGGCTGATAACAAGAAAACATTACAGGCTGACTTACAGGTCTGCTGATGTTGGCTGGTCTGTCCAATAAATTGCAGGCAGCTCCTTTCCTTGGACTTCCAATTCCAGTGTCGTTGGTGAGGATGGGTGACACGTCATTCAGTATTCGGTGCTGCTCTCTTTCATCTAGAGAGTTACTGCGTATCTTCTTCGCAGAAGGCACTGAAATTCCACTGCCTTCTGATGCGGTGCGCTTTACTATTTTGCTGCCACCATGTTCCTACATTGATGTAACAATTTTATCATCTTCTGCAGAAAGCTCCTCTCTCCCATGAAACATGGGTTATGTTTCAATTTAGCAACATATTTAAAGTGTCTACTGCTTAGGATTTCACAGCATGAGCAAAATGTAGTTTTTTTTTTCATTTTGGCACTAGGCTGCATCAAATATCGGGTGTCTGGATGAAAGGTATCCAAAATAAAAAAAAATATATCTCGGAAGGTAACTGTCATACGCATATCCGGTTTATGTTATTGGAAAAGAAGAAGTTTTTTTCCCCCCCATGCCCAACCTGTGCTCATACGCCTCCACATTTCTGCCACCATGTTAGGAATCACTTGGATAGAGTGATGACTGGGAGATAGACTGGCAGAAGTGGATCAATTGCTTGGCCTCCTAGGTCGCCAGATTTAACCCCACTGAATTTTTTCTTGTGCGGTTATGTGAAGAACATTGTCTACCAGGTTAAGATCAACGACCTGCAAGACCTGAAAGCCCACATAATGGACGCTGTGGCTACGGTAACACCTAACATGCTGGATCGTCTGGCTATCTGTCGTGCCACCAAGGGAGCCCACGTTTAAATTTACTGAGGAAGTTATATACACTCAACTCTCGATTATCCGGGGGTGGATAAACCGGTTTGTGGCTTAACTGGGGCTTTTTTTGAGGCTTATATGTTGTTTAACATTCATTCACTTTGTTTCACATTGTGAGTTGTAACACTATTTTCGCACTAGTGTGAACTGAGCTCTGCATTGTTTAGCCCCGTTATGCTAACACAATGTTCTAGGGTAGGGGTGAAAGAATGCAAGGATTTGTGGAAAGTTTCAAGGACAGATACACCACCGCAGTTAGTCTCTTTGTATTGATCTTCAAGTGCATTAGCAAAATGTCAGGGTGTAAAAGGAAGCGTGTTGTGTTAAGTATTCAACAGAAACTTGAAATTATCAATCAGTTGGGAAAAGGAGGTGTAGTTAAACAATTAGTAATGCAATACGGTATTGGAGAACAAACTGTTCATGATTTGAAAAAACAAAAGAATTAATTAATTTCCTTTGCTTCGTCTTCTAATTCAAGCGGAATGAAGAAGAGAAAAACCATGAAAAAATCCAATTCATGGAAGAAACTGATGCCTTTCATCACTAATGAAGATGATGAAATCCATGGATTGAGTGAAAATGAGATAGCCATAGAATCGACAAAATTGGCTAACCAAGTTCATGGTGGTGAAGTCAACGAGGAAGATATAAGAGAGTGGTTTGACTGTGACTGGTGTGAGCTGGGCTTCGAAATGTTAAACAGTGACAAAATCGTAAGTTCAGTGGGGGTGCAGCCAGAAGAGCGGAAAGAAAGTGAGAATGAGGAAGAGGTGGACAGTGCTGCTAGTAAGTACAAATATCCGTAAAAAGGAAAATGCCACGAAAAAGCAAACGACAATATTACATTTTTTTAAGTATTAAGTGTGAATATTCGTAAAAAGTGTTGGATGTTGTTGAACACTGTGACTGAAATAACTAATTCATACTTCAGTGTAATGTAAAAAAAGTATTAAATAGGCCATGATATGACATAAAAATGAGGTTGAATAAATTTAAATACAGGTAGGCCTATAGTATTATGAAGGTACAGTATTACACTACTACTTTTAATAAAATTTGTCTTAACCGGGTTTTGGATTAATTGTGACTTCCATCCCCACCAGTATCCCGGATAATCGAGAGTTGAGTGTACTCAGAAAAAACTTTGATAGTTTCCCTCTGTAGTTGTGTAACCCTTAAATGTGTATAATAAAAGCTTTCTGAGATATAATTATTTTACTTTGGATACTTTCATCCAGACACGCTGTATTGAGGCAAGCCTCACAGCTGTCATCTCTCGGATAAACAATATTTGGACGAGTTAAGTATCTTATATAGCTCTCACATTAGGCAGCGTGTTGGAAGTGAGGCTACAATTGGATGAACAGAGTGGGATGTTAACCAACAGGGTGTGCCCATGTGGTAACTGAAAAATGGTTAGCAACAATTTTCTGATAACCAGAACTTCCTTGATTTATGCCAAACTTTCATCCATTCAGTTCATGGACTGATATCCTGAATCCTCAGCTGTTACTCTACTTTTGTATTTGGAAGACCCACCAAATGTTTGACTTCTGCTGTTTCTCTGCAAAAGCAAGTTTTACTATTTAAAAGGTTACTGTAATAATTTTTCCTATTCCAAAGCAGAACTTGATGCAGATGACCTATTCTTTACAGTCAGCCATTTCCTGATCAAATGCAAATCACTGATGCCACAATTCAAAACTTCACTTCACAATCAATTTACGGAATTAATGACATTTGAAAATGTAGACTACTTCCTCACTTGCTTGGCTTACTCTTTGATTCTGAAGATGGACGCATCACATTCCTCCAAAACGTCAATAAATCTCTATCAAACTATCCAGCATCATCACAGCCAAGAGAACCCCAAATCTTGCACAATAACAATCACATAATAATGCAAACTGTTACTCTTCGTGAAAGCAAATACATGAACTTACCTTTTTGCTTTTTGATTTTGTTTCCTTCTTGTCTGTAACAGATTCTCGTAATCTGTTGAATTCTGCATCAGGGTCCATAGGATCAATCATATCATTAAATTTCTGAAAACACATATTTTTTGTTATTACTAGTTATTACTTGAATACTTACTAGAATACACAAAACTATAATTTTGCCTTTGGTTCTGTATGGGTCTGAAACTTGGTCTCTGACATTAAGGGATGAATATAGACTGAGGGTACTTGAGAACAGGGCGTTGAGAATATTGTGACTGAAAAGAGATGAAGTGACAGGAGGATGGAGAAAACTGCATAATGAGGAGCTTCATAACTTGTGCTCTTCTGCAAGTATAATTAGAATGATCAAGTCAAGTGGGATGATGTGGGCAGGGCATGTACCACAAATGGGGGAGATGAGGAATAGATATAGGATATTAGTGGGAAAGCCAGAAGGAAAGTCACCACTTGAAAGACCAAGGCGTAGATGGGTGGACAATATTAAAATGGATCTTAGAGAGATAGGATTCGATTTATCTGGCTCAGGATAGAGACCAGTGGAGGGCTCTTGTGAACACAGTAATGAACCTTTGGGTTCCATAAAATGCTGGGAAATTCTTGAGTAGCTGCAGAATTGGCGGATCCTAAAGAAGGGCTCAGCTCCACAAGTAAGTAAGTAAGTAAGTAAACATGCCGCGCCATACCTCAAGCTGTTAGTCGCTGGCTTCCCGGGCCCGGGTTCGATCCCGGGTCAGGTCAAGTGGAATTTCTGGTGGACAAAGTGGCCCTGGGGCGGGTTTTCTCCGAGTACTTCGGTTTCCCCTGCCAATCTTCATTCCACCAAATTCTCCATCATCATAATCACCCAGGGCAGGCTACAATAGGCCAATGAGTGGCCGCCGTGCCGAGTGAATCCAGTTGGACTCCACACCCCACTAAGCGAATTTAAGTAAGTACTAGTTATTACTTGATCATTCTAATTGTACTCTTTACATAATTAGAATCAAGTCAAGGATGATTAGATGGGCAGGGTATGTAGCATGAATTGGGGAGAAGAGGAATGCATATAGGATATTGGTAGGAAAGCCAGAAGGAAAGAGACCACTAGGAAGAGCAAGACATAGGTGGGTGGATAATACTAAAATGGATCTTAGATAGGATTGGATTGATCTGGCTCAGGATAGACACTACTAGAGGGCTCTTGTGAACACGGTAATGAACCTTTGTGTTCCATAAAATGGTGGGAAGTTCTTCAGTGAGTGCAAAATTGTTTGCTTATCAAGAAGCGTGAGCCTGTGAGTGTGTGACTGGTAATTACAAATAACCTCAATCACTATTTACTGCATTGTTCAACTAGTGACAAAACTATTACAGGTATGAAAGAAAATGGTTAGCTTTTATTTTCTCATTTACATGCCTAGAAAAATAAATTTCCTTGCTTTTCCCTTGCCAATCTTCATGCCACCATTGCTTCATACTCATCTATCAGTGCCCCTTTGAGGTGTATGATAGCCCTGACTATGTAACACATTATCACTTCCTCAGGTTCTAATTTGGGCCTCCATCTCTAACCTAGCACTTGGCCAGTTACAGAGTAATGGAGTCAATATGTAGTATGTAAGAAATACTTGTGATAAGATCGACTCAAGGAAAGTACCTTACTAATTTCTCAGAAAGACTCACGCCGCGGAGTGCTAGCAATATATTGTACACTGTGTGTCCAGGATCTGTTAGGGCTCCTTTTTTTAAATTTTGCCCTGCAAGGCCATCTGTTGGTGACTTGTGGTGTTAAGATTCTTGAAGTTTCAGGTGTGGCTGTCTATAATTTCAAAGCACAAGCATTGCTGCATCATGTGTTCTGACCCTGAATGTAACAGTACTGTTCTGACGCTCATTGGAAAATGGCGGTTGAACAGAGAGTCAACAACAAATTTTGTTTGAAGTTGGGCAAAACAGCCAGAGAAGCATATGAAATGATGAAGAGTGTGTACGGTAGTGACTGTTTGAGTTGCTCAAACATTTTTCAATGGTATCCTGTATTTCATGACGGCAGGGAGGACACTGAAGGCGGTCCACGTGCATCAAAGCCGAGAACAAGTAGCACTGAAGAAAATGTGAAAATAGTGATCGAAATCCTTGCATCAGACAGATGTGTTTCTGCAAGAGGAGCTTTTGGGAATACCAAAAGGTACTGTGCATCAAATTTTGACTCAGGATTTGGGCAAATGGAAGGTCTGTGCACGGTTTTTACTGCACATGCTGACAGGCGATGAAAATCATGCCAGAGTGGAACACTGCAAAGACATGTTACTGTTGACCCATAGTGATATAATATTTACAAAATAGATTGTTACTGGTGACGAGACATGGTGTTTTCAATATGAGCCTCTCACAAAGCGGCAGAGTGCAGCGTGGTTGAGCCCAAAGAAGCCGAAACCAAAGAAAGTGTGCATGCAAAAGAGTCGAGTAATGACACTACTAACTGTTTTCTTCAATTCCAATGGAATCATTCACAAGGAATTTCTGCTAGACGGTCAAACAGTGAATTCTGATTATTATGTCGAAGTCCCCAATCGTTTGTGGGTGAGAATTCTTCGAATTCGACCTGAATATCGAGAGCAAGGTTCCTGGTCATTCCTCCACGACAATACAAATCAAAGATCGTGCGCGATTTTTTTGGCCAGAAAAGGGATCACAGTCCTTGGTCAGCCTCCGTATTCACCAGATTTGGCTCCAGCAGATTTCTGGTTGTTCCCAAAAGTGAAGTTGGCGATGAAAGGAGACCGTCACAACACCATCCAGGACATCCAAAAGCAATCTACCGCAGTTTTAAATGCGATCCCACAAGAGGAGAACAGTGACTGTTTTCAAAAACTTTTCAATCGATTCCAGCTATGTATTGATTCAGAAGGAGACTATTTTTATAAAAAGAGTGGAATTTTGAAAATAATTCACATCTTGTATTTTTAATGAACACAGTCCTAACAGAGTTCCTAACAGAAAAAGTGTAGTGAGGAGTGTTGTTAAGAAGATTGCTTGTAATGACAGAATTATTGCTCTGAAGTTAAAGGCAGAACCGGTAGATATACTGATTATACAAGTGTACATGCCAACATCAGAGTATGAAGACGATGAAGTGGAAAAAGTGTATGACACAATTGAAGAAATTCTTCAGGAAGATGGAAGAGGAGACACAAACAGCATCATATTGGGAGACTGGAACAGCATTGTTGGAGATGAACCATATCAGAATATTGTTGGATCACATGGACTAGGAAGACGGAATCACAGAGGTCAAATGCTTATTGACTTTTGTGAACGAAATGGATTGATTGTTACCAACACTTGGTTCAAGAAGCCAAAGAGAAGAATTTACACATGGAAGGCACCTGGGGATTGGAAGAGGCATCAGCTGGACTACATCCTTGTGAAACATCGATTCAGAAACAGTGTGAAGGATGTGAAGACGCTTCCTGGGGCAGACATTGACTCTGACCACAACTTGCTGGTTGCCAAGTTCCGAACCAGGTTGAAGAAAATTATAGGATTTCGAAAGCGCAGACCCAGATGGGATTTGGAGAAGTTATATGCTCAAAGACAAAGCGTGCAAGAGACTCTAGAAGAGAAACTCGGTGCAATTGAAGGTGAAAGCGGAAATGCTGAAGCGCAGTGGAACGATATAAAAGAATGCATGTTAGATACTATCAGTGATTTGGTAGGTAAAGTTGAGAAGATAGCAAGAAAACCATGGGTTACACAGGAGATGATGAGTAAAATGGAGGAGCGAAGGAAATGGAAGAATGTCAACAATGAAGAAGGCAGGAGGAAATACAGGAGACTGAGGAATGAATTGAAAAGAGCCACGGACAGGGCCAAAAAGGAATATCTTGAGAAGATATGTAATGAGATTATGGAATTTCAAAGAACAGGCCGTTATGATTTGATGTACATGAAGACAAAAGAACTAGGATGGAAAGAGAATCATGGGATTCAAAATGTTGGCATCGAAGACTCCCAGGGGAATAGAATAGTAGATCAGAGGCAAGTGCTGAAAATTTGGGAAAATTATATTTCAGAACTATATGATCGACCTAATCGGCCAGAAACCTTAGAAGTTGAACCGGAAGAAGAAGTAGATACAGACGAGAAAGGACCATATATTTTACAAAGTGAGGTGGAAAAAGCTATCAAGGAAATGAGGAAGGGAAAGGCTACAGGAGATGATGATGTACCTGGAGATGTGCTCAAGTTACTGGGAGAAGGTGGTTTGAAAACACTGACAAAACTAATGAACACCATATATGAAAGTGGAGAGTGGCCCAAGGACTTTACAGAAGTTACAATGATTGCCTTAAAGAAAAAGACAAAAGCTACAAAATGCAGCGACCATCGCACAATAAGTCTTATTGCACATACAGCAAAGATAATAGCAAAGATACTTAAAAGAAGAATTGAAAGGAAAATAGAGGATGTACTTGGAGAAGATCAGTTTGGATTTAGAAGAGGAAAAGGAACCAGGGATGCAATTGGGATGATGAGAATTATAGCGGAACGAACTTTGGAGATAGATGAAGAACTGTGTGTTTGCTTCATAGACTGGCAGAAGGCATTTGACCGGGTAAACTGGACCAAATTAATGCAGATCCTGAAAGAAACAGGTATCGATTGGCATGAAAGAAGATTGATTAGCAAATTGTACATGGATCAGAAAGTTAGAGTACGACTGGACAGGGGGGAGACAGGAAGTGTGCAGATTGGAAGAGGAGTTCGACAAGGATGCTGTTTATCACCAATTCTGTTCAACTTGTACAGCGAATGCCTTACCAAGGAAGCTCTGGATGGGCTCGGTGACTTCAAAGTAGGAGGGCAAATTATTCAAACTGTGAAATATGCAGATGACCTTGTGTTAATGGCTAAGGAAGAAACTGTGCTACAGGGCATGATTGATAGACTAATTGAAATTGGAAGGTGCTATGGCATGGAAATGAATGTGGAGAAAACAAAAGTAATGAAAATTTCGAGACAACCAACCCCAGTCACAATAAAGATAGACCAAAAACAAGTGGAGAATGTGAAATGTTTTAAATATTTGGGTAGCTTGTTAACAGATGATGGAAGGTGTACTTGTGAAATTAAATCCAGGATTGCCATGGCAAAAGCTGCATTTAGCAAGAAGAAGAATCTTTTTACCAGCAAATTGGACTTAAATTTGAGGAAGAAACTAGTGAAATGCTACATTTGGAGCATAGCTCTGTATGGGGCTGAAACATGGACACTTAGGGCAGTAGATCAGAAACATCTGGAAAGTTTCGAAATGTGGTGTTGGAGAAGAATGGAGAAGATCAGTTGGACCGATTATGTGAGAAATGAAGAAGTGTTAATTAGAGTCAGTGAGCAGAGGAATATCCTACATGAAATAAGAAAACGGAAGGCTAATTGGATTGGTCATGTTTTACGCAGAAACTGCCTTCTAAAAGAAGCTATCGAAGGAAAGATAGATGGGCGGATAGAAGTGACAAGAAGACGAGGAAGAAGACGTAAGAAGATGCTGGATGACCTTGGGGACAGAAGAGGATACTGTCATTTGAAGGAGAAAGCTCTAGATCGCATTAAGTGGAGGAATTGTTTTGAAAGAGACTGTGGACCTGTCGTCTTGACAGATTACTGATGATGATGATGAGTCCTAACAGAACCTGGACACACTGTGTATGTTTCTGGAAAGATAAAGGTAAAGTTGTCCCCGTGCTTAATTATTAATCACCACACCATGAAGATGTATGGGGGACAGGAAGTATAGCTCTACCATTCTTGACCTCAGAACTAACTGGAGATGAGTGGTCAGCTTGACACCCTGGCTGCTTCACCCCCGGGGAAGGAGCCATGGTATCCATTGAATAGGAGGCTGGGTGAGCTCCTGAGCCAGTCTGGATGCAGTGGAATAAAGAAAACTCTTGGCCCTGCCAGGAACTGAATCCAAGCCATCCAGCCCATAACAATACTAGCTGAGCTATAACAGCTCCTCTTCCTGCAGGGGTAAAATTCAAATCTGTGTTCTTGGGCGGGGGAAGAATTATATATTGTGTGGTCTTTGGGACTAAGACATCATGTAGTATAAGTGGATATCATAATTTTGGAAGAACATACTGCCTCCATGTTCAGGGCTTAACTTTCATGCTTAAGTAGGAATCAGCGTGTTCCTCAAAAACATTTATACACACTGAACACACTATAACTGTCATACTGCTGAAGGTCACAATATACTGTTGAGTGCTGCAGAAACTCAGGTCCTACACAGCTGCATTACTTAATGGCATCTGTGACTAGTATCTCCTGACACCCTGAAGAGGTATCTGGAAGAAGTGAAAGAAAGAAACAAAAGAGAAAGATGAAAGAATTTTAAAAAGAAAAGTGAAGTATGTACTCACATCTCCACTGCTTTTTATAAAATCTTCAATTGCCTGAAGTGCATCTTTGAATGCTCCTGATTTATTTGATTTGATAAGCTGATCTTTGAATTCAAAATATGGCTTTATCTGACTTTCTTCAATCCAGGCACTGAAATAAATATAATTATTTTGGTACAACATTATGTTCAAAAGAAGAACAAAGAAATCACCACAAAATCTTCTGAGTAATGTATGGTACACACAGTTAGGACTTACATATACATGGGCGACCCAAATAACTTTAATATTTAGACACCTGTCATCTGCCACGTCAGTGCTGCTAGCCTTAGAAGTTCATTTGTAAAAAAAATACCTAAGGCCTAACCTTAGAATCAGCCTCAAATGAAAAGTCTGGAATGGTAGGCTTTTGGTTTTGTTTTTGTTTTTTTTTATTTAACCCTTCTGGTCCATCTTTAAACTTTTAAGTTTTATAAATAAACATCTTAAAATCTCCTAAGGTTACACTCTGAGTTGTTTTCATAAATTTCTACAGTTGACAGCATTAATGTTAAAGTAAAGTTTTAAAGTTACTTGCATCACTCATTAATATGTAAATACTAGTAAATCCAATGTATATATCAATACTTACTAATTATTTGTGCCAAAGAAGAATATGCAATGCAATGCATGCTTCTTGGCAGAGGGCCTTTTCAAATCTTTGGTTGGGTTTGAGACCTATCGAAAGAGAAACAAATAGAATTAAGCAGGCAGAAAATGACAACCAAGAGAGACTGTCAGGCTATAAGAATATGAGATATGTGTTTCTCACAATGGTGAATACAAAGAACACTGTCTTCTGGGATGACATCATATAATCTCATAGAAAGGTACCAACATAAAAGTGTAAAAGGATGGATAAAGAAGCTTCAAAACTGATGCATACATTCTACTTCTCCATTGCTTTTTCTAAAATTTCTTCATGCTTAAGATGGAGGCAGTGGATTCTTATGAAACCTTAATTAATACCTATCCACCAAAGTTACACAGCATCACATGCCAAACAGTAATATTCATACAACTACATTACAATGGCCATTACTGCTACTCAGGGTTCATTTATTGACACTGTCAGTAGCTCAGACTGCAAAGTGTCAAATGATACAGCAATTTATCAGTAATAAGCGGGAAAAAACATGTAATGTGCCTGGTAGGAGTGTGGGAAACAACAAGCACTCTCGAGTCATGAACCTCAGACTTCCAAACTGCATAGCCGGATGCTAATGATTTCAACTGTGACATTTAGTTCAAATTTTTAGTTATAATTATATAAATAAAGGTTGAATTATTACTGCTCTGATGCTGTAATTAATAATCTTACTCTTGGACTTTATCAGTTAAAATGGATCCATTTTTTGCATTTAATTTTCACCAATAAAAATAATAATATTCATGAGTGGGTGCGATGTTATATGTGAAAGGCTATTTTCCAGATCTGGCACACCAAAAGCACCTGCAACTATGAAGGTCACCTAAGACACACACCAACCAACACCTTAAATACCCCCCCCCCCTTTTATCTCTTATCAAAAAATTTTACCTAATAACTTAAGCTGTATGATTTTAACTTCCCACATATAACTTATCTCTTTCATGGATATTATTGCTTTTATTAATGAAAATTAAATGTAATAAGTGGATCCATTTTAACTGACAAGTCAATGATGACAGATATGTATTCAAAGAACATTTCTTGACAATCTCTGCAGACTTAAACATGTTGTGGGATATAAAAATAAAGCTCAGTATTAATACCTTAATATCACTTTTACAATCAATCTATTGTTCTGCTGATGGCTCCTAAAAATAATTTACTCTTGGACATTCTGTTAATAGCAGAGGAATTTAAATGTAAACTGTCCCTGGACTTAACTAATTAAGCATTATGCCATGATGACGTACGGGGGAGTGCATGTATAGACCCACATTTTCTTGACCTAAGCACTAGTTGGAGGTAAGTGGTCAGCTTCACCCCAGACGAAAGAGCCCCTCGATACACACTGGATATGAGGTTGGGTGAACCCCAGAGCTAGTCTGGATGACATGGAGAAGTGAAAATTCTTGACACCACCACGACTCAAACTCAGACCCCGTGGATGTCCAGTCTGTAGCCAGTTACTATACTGACTGCGCTAATACGGCTCCATTTAAATATAAATAACTAAACATAATAAGATGAAATGGGAACATTTTATGAAGAAACGAGGTTTTAGCCTAGGACCTCCTAAGCTACGTATCAGGATTTCAACCCACCATGCTTGGATTTTCTGTGACAAAATAACTTTTCAAAACAGCCAAGAGCAATTACCTTCTATTATCTTTCTGTATTAAACCTGATCTCTCTATCTCAAGCCGTCACCACAATCAATCATTTTATACTTATTTATGGGTAAGGAGAGGCAATCATTGTGACAGTGTTCACAAAACATACTCCTAAGGAAGGAGACAAATGGTCATTGGCATCACAATCTGTGGAGGCCATGTGGTTAAGTCATGTGATATACATGACTAACTTGCAGAATGGAAGCAACAGTACAGATTTCTGAGAGCAAACAACACAAGAAAGAGAAGGAAAAGAAGAACAGGTGGGGGGCATAAATCAATAAATACACAACCAATAGGAAAAGTAAATCTATCTACAGGGGTTGAACAAAATAATGGAAACAATATACACATTTCTTTATTAATATGGTGTTGGACCACCTTTGCCTTAAACACAGCTACAACCCTTCTTGGAGTTGACTCATACAAGTTTTTAACAGTCTCTAGTGGAATTATATACCACTCTTCTTGAAGAACATCTTCAAGTTTGATTTAGAGATGTTGGAGGTCTGAATCTGTTCCTCACTCTGGCCTCCAATACTGACCAGAATGGTTCAATGATGTTCAAATCTGGTGTTTGTGTGGGCCAGTGAAGATGATAAGTTCACTTTCATGCTCTTCAAGTCATGACTTAACAGTTCCAGCTGTGTGAATGGGGGACCCTGTTCATCTTGGAAAACTCCACCATTGTCTGGAAATAATGTCTGGATCATGGGATGCACCTGATTAGCCAACCTGTCCACGTAATTTGGCCCTGAAGGGAAATAATGGGACCAACAGAACACCACAATATCGCTGTCCAAACCATCACAGAACCACCCATTTTTCACTGTTGCAACTAGGCTTCCTTGCATTTGTTCTACAAATGTAAACTCTTCCTGATGTAGGCAACATGGTGAAGGACAGATCATCTGACCATATCACACACCTCCAGTTGTCTGATGTCCAGGTTTTATGGTTGTGACACCAACAGTTATGCATCGGAACATTATTCTCAGTAATCACAGGTTTAGCAACTGCAGCCCTGCTGTAGATGCTGGATCTGTGAATCTCGTATCGGACAGCTTTTGGGGAAATGGTATTCAAGATTATTCAGTTCTGCTGTCAGATGTGCAGCAGCAGTTCTGTGATTTTTCAAATACGATGATCTCTTTTTGTCAATGTTGATTTTTGCCTATCATCCTCTTAGCTGTTGCTGTCTTCCCATGAATGGTGCATTCTGACATAACCTTAGAAATCGTCACTCTCGATACCTAATAATGTGGAAGGTTCTGTCATAGATGCTCCAGCTACACACGAACAATCGGACAAGTTTTCTTGCACACAGACTGTCACTCAACACGATCACTAATTCACTGTCATGAGCACTACAGAATGTGAACAAATAGAAGAACATTCAATGTTTCCAACTGAAGTTCTTTCAATATAGCCTACACAAACAAATTCTATTCAACTTCTTTGTGTTTCCATTATTTTGTAAACCCCTTGTATATCAATGAAGAGGAAACAACAGCAATTAGGCCATCAATAATAAAGTAAAATGGATGTACAGCTGTCCTTGTGCTTAATTAAGCATGATGCAATGAAAATGTTGGGATGGAGGTATAGCTCCATACAGTCTTCCCCTTGGAATGTGTTGGACGTGCGTGGGCCAGTTTCACGCCTCAGCCACTTCATCTCACAGAAGGAAGGTCGTTACCCACTGGACATGAGGCTGGTATGACTTACATCCCATTTAGACCCAAAGAAAAATAAACAATCCTGGTAGGAATCGACTCCCACTTCCTTGTAGCCTAGTCACTACAATGACCGAGCTATTCTAGTTCATCAACAATGCTATTAAAGTACTCATATGCTTACTCTCTCCTTTCATAGTAAGATGGACAATTATTTAATAGAAACTGTTTATTTATTACTTAGGTATAGTTTATTTAACAACGCCATCACTAGCCCATGTTATATGACAAGGAGTGAGACAATTAGTGAACAATGAATTGGGACATATAAGGAAGTATTTGTAATCTACTTTGATGTGTCATGATTACATCTGCCAGAAGGGACTGAGGAAATCCACAAAAAAAAAACCTGAGTCAGGAGAGTCAGTGTCCACATTAAGATTTGATCCAGGCACCTTCTAGATATAAGCTGAAAGACTTACTGCCAGTCAACTTGCTCAATCACACTTTCCATCAGGACAGACTGTCAGCCATTTACTGTTCTAATTGACTGTTTCCAAATTAATCAATAAACTGAGTGACCAAAAAAAAATATAGTTACCATAAAAATAGTATTAAATTATTCCATGATCACTGGACAAGATTTCAACACATAAACCCTGACATATGGTATAATTTTTATATTTTATATCTTCTACTTTAATTGTAAACACCAACTTCAGGCAAAAATTTTATGTTAGTATATAATACAATATGTTGCACTGGTATGGATCCATATCGGTAGTTCAGTTACTACTATATGTATTCCTACATGCAACTGCCTGATGATGGTCTTATACAACTGAAACATGTAGCAGGAATAAGGATAGAATTGTAAAACATTAAAACTGAGTATATTTTTTGTGTTGACAGTTAACATAATTCCTATATATATCCGGCACCAAGACACTGCATGCACATTCCCATATACAAGTTTCTGCTGCTAGAGGTCTTACCGTTACTTTTATCAACATACCATCTACGCAATTTTATTTAGGGTGTTGACTGTATGTAATTATTGAAACACGATGAAAACTGTCAGAAATTGTGTGTCTGGGGGGCTCTGCTTTTTAAGCAAGAATATTTATATTCACTGGTCACTCTCCAATGATCCAATAAACTCTTAAATATTCAATATAAATAAAATTTATCCAACCGTTCATGTGTGCTGAAAACGTGTAAATCCATCAAAACCTCATAATCAATTTTTTCATCATCACACTATCTTCTCATACATTGAGCTGAGCCCTTCTGGAGGGGCCGCCAATTCTGCAGCTACTCAAGATTTTCCCAGAATTTTATGGAACCCAAAGGTTCATTACCGTGTTCACAAGAGCCCTCCAGTGGTCCATATCCTGAGCCAGATCAATCCAATCAATAACATCCCATCCTATCTCTCTAAGATCCATTTTATCATTGCCCACCCACCTACGCCTTGCTCTTCCCAGTGGTCTCTTTCCTTCTAGCTTTCCCACCAATATCCTATACGCATTCCTCATCTCCCCCATTCGTGCTACATGCCCTGCCCACCTCATCCTCCTTGACTTGATAATTCTAATTATACTTGGAGAAGAGTACAAGTTATGAAGCTCCTCATTATGCAGTTTTCTCCACCTTCCTGTCACTTCATCTCTCTTTGGT